AAAAATAATATAAAAACAGGGAAGGGGACAAAACAGAAGAGACTCATAAATATGGAGAACAAACTGAGGGTTACTGGAGGGGTTGTGGGAGGGGGGATGGGCTATATGGGTAAGGGGCATTAAAGAATGTACTCCTGAAATCATTGCTTCACTATATACTAATTTGGATGTAAATCTTAAAAAATAAAAAAAGTTAAATCATAAAAACAAAAACAAAAACAAATGAGTGTCCTCAAAATATGATCCAGGCTCCTTTCAAACTGTTGCTTTTGTGCTGGATCCCAGGGCAAGAGGGTCTGTACATAAGCCCTTTCAAGAGTGAATGAATCCTCCATTTCCTATGGCCCTATGGTTCTCCTGAAAGTAAACCCCATTGATTTTTAACACCAGATGCTGTGCGGTCTCATCTCTCTGGTGCAGTTCCCAAGGATTGGGAGGCCTGAAATGGGGCACAAACCCCTCAGTCCTTAGGGATGAGCTCCAGATTTTGACACCCCTTCCAATTGTGGGTCACTGTTCCTGAGGTGGGGGTTTCTCGCTAGACTGTGTCTCCACCTCTCCTACCTATCTCAATGTGGCCCTTTTATTCTTTGTCATGGAGTCTCTGTTCAGCTAGGCTTCAGGCCCTTTTCAGAGGGAATTGTTCCTTCTGTAGCTGTAGAGATACTGTGTTCGTGGGAGAAGGTGAGTTCAAGATCTCTCTGTTGAACCCTCCTGTGGCCAGTTGATCTTTAACAAAGACACAAAAGCAATTCAGTGGAAGAAGGGTAGTGTTTTAAACAAATGATGCTGGAACAATTGGATATCCATATGTAGTAAATAAACCTTGATCAAAATCTCGCATCTTAGGGGCACTTCAGTGGCTCAGTTAAGTGTCCAACTTCAGCTCAGGTCATGATCTTGCGATTCGTGGGTTCAAGCCTCTCTCATTGGGCTCTCTGCTGACAACTCAGAGCCTGGAGCTTGCTCCAGATTCTGTGTCTCCCTCTCTCTCTGTCCCTACCCCGCTCTCTCTCTCTCTCTCTCTCTCTCTCTCTCTCTCTCAGAAATGAATAAATATTAAAAAAAATTTAAACCTCACATCTTACTAAAAAAAATAACTCAAAGTGGATCAGAGACATAAATGTAAAACACAAAACTGTAAAATGTTTAGTAAAAAACTTATAAAGAAGCCTTCATTAAAAATAAGAAAAAGAAAACCTTCATGACATGAGGTGAGGTAAAAAGTTCTTAGATTTTACATCAAAAGCACAATCTGGAAAAGGGGGAAATGATACATTTGACTTCATCAAAATTAAAAGCTTTTGCCCTAAGAAAGAGCCTGTTCAGACAATGAAAAGATAAAGCAGACCGGGAAAAAATGTTTGCAAATCACATATCCAACAAAGAACTTGTATCCAGAATATATAAAGGACTCTTCTTAAAACTCACCACTAAAAACAAAACAAAACAAAACAAAACAAAAAAACTCAATTGAAAAATGGACTAAAGTGAAATGAACAGACACCTCACCGAAGAGGATATACAGAAGGCAAATGGAAGCATCATTAAGTATTTGGGAAATGCAAATTAGAATTATGATGAGATACCACACTACACATCTATTAGAATGGCTTGGCCATCTTCAATGTAAACTAAATTAGGAGCCTACCTTATGTGAACCTCTTCCGTGATAATCCACACTACGACTTCTCCCTTCAACACAGACGAGATATTGGAAGCATCTCCTGGTGTCAAGGCCATAATATGTAAGGGAGGGTCACGTACACATACACACAAATGGTTGTTCTCCATCATTCTTGCCTCAGATACCTTTGCTTTCTGTCACAGAACTCCTTGGTCCATGAACTTTATCTCTTCCATGTTTGGCCTCTGTTTCTCTTATGTCTTTAAATCCCACTTCTGTCACTGTGAGTGATGCCAATGACATTCGAACAGACCAGGTCTGGCAGGCTTCTCCTCAAAGGACGTTTATGGTCTCCTGAGGTGCCACACCTGCAGTTCAAATAGATTCCACAAGGAGGATGGTGTTTATCAAGGTATGGTTCTTGGTTAGACTACCGTTAGGCCTTGTGAATAACTGAGAGATCAGATATAAGGTACACAATCCATCCATGCTTTTTATTATTTTTTTTTTAATTTTTTTTTCAACGTTTTATTTTATTTTATTTTTGGGACAGAGAGAGACAGAGCATGAACGGGGGAGGGGCAGAGAGAGAGGGAGACACAGAATCGGAAACAGGCTCCAGGCTCTGAGCCATCAGCCCAGAGCCTGACGCGGGGCTCGAACTCACGGACCGCGAGATCGTGACCTGGCTGAAGTCGGACGCTTAACCGACTGCGCCACCCAGGCGCCCCATCCATGCTTTTTAAATAACATCACATTTAAATAGCACAAATCTGGCAAAACACTAACATTTAAGTTTACCTATTATTGAAAAGAGAAAACACTTATTTTATCTTCTAGCCAGTCTATAGATATTTGTTAAACACCTACTGTGTGCAGGGCACTGTTCTAAATAATGGTGATGCAAACTAAATCTATTTGAAGCAAGATATAAGAGAAATTATACACTCAGACTACCTTTAATTAATGATTTTTGCTGAGTTTTCCTCTGGAGCTTACCTAGCAAATTTACTCTCATCTTTTATGAGGATCAGGGGTAGTAGGACATTTATAGATGGCAAGCTTCCTATAAAATTTCTCCCACCACTATTTTCTATTTAATTGGCATGCTTATAAAAACTATCTCAGCCAGCTCTTGCAAAGAGGATTCAGCCTATCACTAAGATTTCTTCTACTCCATAACATGATCTTTAAAGAAAGGCCTGTTCTATCTTTTTTCCTATTATTTTCATCTATGTCCAAAATTCAAGAGACAAACCCACTTCTAAGTAATTTTTGAGTTTCTTTCCATTCTCTGGAAATTTTATCTCTTGCGATGTGGTTACCTGGTCAAAGAAGTCATTCCCTTAGCTGGGTCTTTTTTCATTAACAATATGTGTGCTTAGCCCCTCTTTCTCATGACTGCAGATTTTAAAATGGGAATTCCCACTGCTGTGAGATGCATCATGTTTACATTTCATAGCCTTTTGTGGCCCTTTGCTAACAGAGATAATATTTCCCCTTCTGAACTTTTGAAACATTTTGAATGAGACAAAATTGAACCTAGTAAAGCAGTTTCTAATACATGTTTTCTTCTCAGCATCAAACAGCCTGTGTACTGCAGACAGCCCTTCTCCACTGGTATGTGCTGGTTTAGCAGTCCCACAAAGAAAGGAGGGTTAAGCTTTTAGAAAGGAATTCCTGAAGTCCCAGAATGGGGATTTCAGCCACTGGTGCAAGTGCTGCTCTTGGGAAGCCACTTGCCAAGGAGGGCTGCTGTCCTTTGACCCCAGCTGAGGGCCTGCTCTGAGAATGTCATGGTTATGCAGTTTCCTCAGTTAAGATCTCAGCCATCAAAAGTACCCAGATCCAAGGACTCAGAGGTCAACCTGGACTACAGCAGAGTGGGGAGGGTTTGTGAGGGAAGTGGGAAAGAAGGGTCTCACACCAGCCTTGACCTGCTCCTTCAGTAGAGAGCACAGATGGTAGTTAGAATTATATTAAACTTGAAGGAACCTGAAGGGCATAAACCCTTTGTGTCCCCTCAGGAGCAATTCCTATTATTCTTATACCCTACTTTCTGATGTTCACTAAATTCTGGATCTTGTCTGTGCTCGCCTTAACCTGGCTCGCCTATGATTGGAATACTCACAGTCAAGGTAAGAGATGGGAAGAATGGTGGTACCTGTCTGTGCCAAGGATGGAACCACAGGGAGAAGGAAATGGATGGAGAGAGTGGAAGAGGCATAGGGAGAAGGGGTGCAAAGAAGAAAGATGGGGAAAAGGAAAGGAAATGAGATAGGAAGGTGGATAGCAGGAAAAATTAAAAGAAGCAAATACGGGTAGAGGGAAGGAGAGGGAGAGAGGGGAGCAAATCTCAGCAAGGAACAGAGATCTCTCCCAGGCTTCCTAAGAAGAATTAAGAGGTTTCAGGGAATGTGCCCCCAGCCTTGGGATATCTTCCCATCACCTTCTTGGCTGGCTCCTGGAGAGCACGAACCTCCTATATATTCTTGGGGGTTGGATTCAGGGACAGTACCTACAGCTCTGTGTTCTAGAATTATGGAAGTATGAAAATGGGAACTCCTCTGTGACCTGAGGACTGTAGAAAGAACCCCCCACCTCTGGGATAGGTAGAGGGATTGGCAATATCTCACCTGCTCTTTCCTTCCCTTCTGTATCCACAGGTGGTAGGCGTTCAGCTTGGGTACGAAATTGGACCCTCTGGAAGTATTTTCAAAATTATTTCCCAATAAAGGTAACCACCCTTCCTCTGAGTGCCCTTGGTTTATGTTGCCTGGACTCACCTTTCCCACTTAGCTCCATGTTTTCAAAGGTTTTAGTGGCCAGCAGTGAAGGTCAAGGCCCAGAGGGCATAATGCAGAGTAGGCACCCAAGATGGATGGGCAGGTGGGAAGATGGATAGATAGCAGCCTTTCTTCACAGTGGCAAATCCTCTGAGCATCATAACCCCTGGCAATCCTATGACAATGATTACATCCCAATGAACAGGGATTTGAGGCTCCCCAAGGAAAATAGGCTATGTGCTAGTATATGGGTCCACATGTCCTCTCTTCCTTCTTCTTATCCACTTCTCTGAGTTAATCTCCCTCTAACAGCTGGTGAAGACTCATGACATCTCTCCGGAACATAACTATATCATTGCCAATCACCCCCATGGCATTGTCTCTTATGGTGTGTTCATCAACTTTGCTACTGAGGCCTCTGGCTTTTCTCGGATTTTCCCAGGCATCACTCCTTCAGTAGGGACCTTGGAAGGGATCTTCTGGATCCCAATTGTGCGAGAATATGTGATGTCAATGGGTGAGTATAAGAAATCATTCCATCCTCTGACCTACCTCAGGGCTCCGGCCCCAGTAAGCCCTAACAGTCCACATCTCACATCCTGCTAGAAGAGAACTTAGTAGAAAATGAGTCCAGAACACACTAAGCCAGTAAAAAGAATATGTGGCTAAACATCAGGTTCTGTCCAAGATCTGGGAGGCAGGGTTTGGTTAGGCAGTAGGATAAGTTACAGGCATTTATAAGAGTTGCCAGGAATCCTTTCAGAGGAGGAAGCAGAAGACTGGATCTTAGGATTAAAGCAAAAGTGGAAAGCAAAAGGCAAAAGCCAAATATGAAACCCAAATGTAGGAAAAATCAGACATGAATGGGGCAGCTCAGATGAACTTTGCTAGATTCTTTCTGGGATGTCACTTGGCTTATTTTGGCCATTTGTATAGCAGCTCTCAAAATCTCTTAAAGACATTTTAAAGTCTCTCATACTAGCTTGTACCCTCCTTGCCCATGATCTTCATTTCCTGGGAACCCCTTCAAACTTGCATAAGATGTCAAGGAATAAAGGATAGGCATACATCAGAATCCAAGATAACTTCCCCATGCCAGGCTTTAAGCCAGGGTACTGTGACAAATGTCCTTCTCTCTGGATGAATATTCCACTTCTGGACACCAGAAAACAACTGAAACCAAACATTAAAAAGATACATTTATCTGGAGAGGTTAGGTGGGACCACTGAGTCCCAGAGGATGGTTCTGCTCCCCTCTGAGTTTGGCATGAACCAAATGATTAAGGCTTGGGGGCAACTTCTGCCATCTCAAGAGAGAATAAAAAGTAATCCCAGAGTAAAGATGAAAAGCAGAAGTGAGGAAAGACTCCATGACTGTTGTGGAACAGCAGGGTGTTACCCTCATTCCATAGTTTGTCTACATTTCAGTTTGGTTTGTACAAGCTCCTGGATCTGCATACTCTACAGAAACCCAAGCCAATGGCTCCCAGTTGGCAGGTTGCTCTAGGGAGAAAGCAGGTTTCTGGTGGCTAGTCCTGATCACCCTTGAGGGAGAAAACTCTGGAGAGTCTCCAGACCTGTAAGACTGGGGAGAGTCAAAGATGGCTATGGTTTATGGGTAGAAAGGGAAGCGATGGGCTTAAATACTATTGAGCTAAGAGGAAGCAGGCAGAGGAACTCAAGGTATCCCCAACTGTAGTAGTACAGAACCTCCAATGCCAGAAGCTGACCCTAAGGACTAACCTCAGGCTACGGCTAACCCAGGATGTGGAGGTCAAAGACAAAAAAGTGGAAACATTCAGGAAACAGAACTGTCTCCAGCAGGAAGAGCCCAGAGGAACCCCTCACCCCAATCTCAGGCACCAAGTTTGTTATGCTACTTGATTCTTTGCTTTCACAGGTGTGTGCCCAGTGAGTGAGTTGGCCTTGAAGTATTTGCTGACCCAAAAAGGCTCAGGAAATGCTGTGGTTATTGTGGTTGGTGGAGCTGCTGAAGCCCTCTTGTGCCAACCAGGAGCCTCTACCATCTACCTTAAAGAACGTAAAGGTTTTGTGAAGTTGGCACTGAAGACAGGGTGGGTCCCCAGGTTCTGTACCCTATTGTCAGGGTGCCATAGGTACTCTGTAGCACCTCTCCAGAATGGTTCCCTCCCTTGGAAACCCTTTAAAGGGGGCTCCCTCTTTACTATGATTGCTTCCCTCTGCTCCTTCACACTGTGTCTTAATGGTGTTTGGGCCTCCAGATACATTTGTAGGCATTTCTTTTACTTGAAGTTGGAGAAAGAACAGTAGGAAAAGACCTTTACCTCCTTCCCATTATCCTAGTTGGCTGTAGGTCTGGGGAAGTGGAGCTTCACTCTATATCAACCCATTAAATGAGAGGCCCAGAGAACCTACCCGGGGCAAGGAAGGCACTAGGCTTGGTGTTGTGGGGGTTGCAAAAATACAGAAGACATGGTTGTTGCCCCCAAACAGCATATAATTTGGTTTCAGGAATAGGATGCATTCCTTCAGCAGTCACTTAATGCTTACTGTGTGTCAGGCATAGTACTAGGCATTGAGGGTATAAAAATAAATAAGACCTTGTTCTTGCCTTTAAGAAACTGACAGTCCAGTGGGAACAACAGACATGCACACATATAACTATACAGGAGCCAACCACTTATCATCTCAACTACAACCCCCTCCCTGGTTTAAACTAGCATCATCTCTGCCCTAGATTATTACATAGTCTCCTAACTGCTCTACCTGCTTCTTTCCCTCTCTCCCCTACATCCAAGAGAATATTCTCAACTAGCTGATTACATTAAATGTGAGATTATGTCACTACTCCAAATGTTCCAATGGCTCCCATTTCACTCTGAGCAAAAGCCAAAATCTTTACAAGGGCCTGCAGAACTGTAAATAATCTGGTCCTTAGCCAGTCCTCATCACCTCCTGGTCTCACCCTTGCTTACTCTGTTAGAGCTACATTGGGCTCCTTGCTATACTTCAAACAAGCTACATGCTCCTGCCTTACGACCTTTGCTCTAGCTGTCCCCTCTGCCTGGAACATTATTCCTCCAAATAATTGTTTGTCTGATTGCTTTACCTCCTCCAGGTATTTGCTCAAATGTTGCTTCTCAATAAGGTCTATCTTGACCATCTTGCTCTACTTTTTCTGGTTGTGTTTATCATCCTCTTATATATCACTGATTTTATTTATTTATATATCTGTTTTTTGTTTATTTGTTATCATTGTTTACTGTCTGTCTTCCCTCAAGAAAAAAATGTAAGCTCCATGAGGACAAAATTGTTTTTATTTTATTTTATTTCCCCCCCGCCAGGGGAATTCTTTTTTTTTTTCTGATTTTATTTTTTTTAATTTTTTTCTTCAATATATGAAATTTATTGTCAAATTGGTTTCCATATAACACCCAGTGCTCATCCCAAAGGTGCCCTTCCTCAATACCCATCACCACCCACCCTCCTCCCTCCCACCCCTCCATCAACCCTTCAGTTTGTTCTGCTTTAAGAGCTCCTGTGCTTTGGCTTTCCCACTCTAACCTCTTTTTTTTTTTCCCTTCCCTCCCATAGTTTCCCAGGTTCAGTTTCTGTGATCCTCATAAGAGGAAACATATGGTATCTGTCCTTCTCTCAAGGGCTTATCCACTTAGCACACCTCCAGTTCCATCCACGCTGCTAAAAGGGCCAAGATTCTTTCTCATTGCCATAGTACTCCATTGCATATAAAACCACACTTTTATCCATTCATCAGTTGATGGACATTTAGGTTCTTCCCATAATTCATATTGCTGAGAGTACTGCTATAAACATTGGGGCACAAGTGCCTTTATGCATCAGTACTCCTGTATCCCTTGGGTAAATTCTCTTAGCAGTGCTATTACAAGGGTCATATAAAGGTCTAATTTTCTTGAGGAACTCCACACTGTTTTCCAGAGTGGCTGCACCAGCTTGCATTCCCACCAACAGTGCAAGAGGGTTCCCTCCACATCCTCTCCAGCATCTATAGCTCTGATTTGTTCATTCTTGGCCACTTGACTGGCGTGAGGATATCTGGAGGTGGTTTTGATTTGTATTTCCCTGATGAGGAGCCACGCTGAGCACTTTTCATGTGAAAGCACATCCAGATGTCTTTAGAGGAACATCTGTTTTGCCCATTTCCTTCACTGGGTTATTTGTTTTTCAGGTGTGAGCTTGGTGAGCTCTTTATAGATTTTGGATACTAGCCTCTTTGTCCGATAAGTGTCATTTGCAAACATCTTTTTTCTCATTCGCTGGTTGCCTTTCTAGTTTTGTTGGTTGTTTCCTTTGCTGTGCAGAAGCCTTTTTATCTTCATAAGGTCCCAGTAGTTCATTTTTGCTGACAAAAATTGTTTTAATCCATTTTATTCACTGATGTGTCCCTAGGGCTCAAAACAGTGCTGACACATAGAAAAAACTCAGTAGATGTGCTATAATGGAGATATATACAAGGTGCTATGGTAGCAATAATTGATGAAAAAATTTTCACTCCCAATGTAGAAGTTTCATAAGTGGGTTACATCTGAATTGTGAGCTAAAATAGTAGGAGTTGCCAATCAGACAAAATGGGAGAAAGAACTCAGTTGACCTACAATGTATCAGGCACTCTGTGAGGCTCTAGAGATTCAAAGATGAATGACACAGTTCCCACCTTTGATCAGCTTGACAGACAACTAGGGAGGAAGACAGGTAAGGAGATGACTGGAATAACTGAGTCAGAATAGTGTTAGTGTGGAGAAAGAGAAGCAGTAGATGAAGGGTACCTAATCTACACTGTGGAGGAGGGAACTGGAGGTAGTCAAAAAATGTTTCTTTAAGAGATTGTAATTGGAGCTGAGCATTGAAGGGCACAGTAGAATTAACTATGTGAAGACATAGGAAGCATTTCTGGCAGAGGGAGCAGAATGTACGAAGCAGCATAGACAAGCAGCAACTTGGCACATTTAGAATGGCTAAGCAGATTGCAAGGAAGTGGTGGGGAGAGAGGAAGCTTGCCAGGTAGGCAGGGCTAGAGCACAAAAGCCATGGTAAGCAGCATGATACAAAGTGAGGATCTCTGGAAGAGTTTTAAAGAGGGAAATGACATGTCCAGATATGCAGTTTAGGAAGATCACTCTGGATGCTGGGTGCAGTGAAAGCAGTTAGAGTGTCTAAAATTTGTTTCTTCCTATCAGGGGACAAGGTGCAGCAACTCCCCACAAAGGGTTCATTTAGAAGGGTGGAGCATGGCAAGAATGAGACATGAAGATGTTTGGGTGCTTGGGTTCTTGTCCTACAATGGGATGTTTGGAAAGTCTTCCCACCTTGGAGAGGGTTTTGCTGGGGGGAAGCTACCTGGGAGAGTTAATACTTATGCTCCTTTCTTTGCAGAGCGTACCTTGTTCCTTCCTATTCCTTTGGAGAGAATGAGGTTCACAATCAAGAGACCTTCCCTGAGGGCACATGGATAAGGTTCTTCCAAAAAACCTTCCAGGACACATTCAAAAAAATCCTGGGACTAAATTTCTGTACCTTCCATGGCCGGGGCTTCACTCGAGAATCCTGGGGCTTCCTTCCTTTCAATCTGCCCATTACCACTGTTGGTAAGCTTTCCAATACCTCTGGACCACTCTGGTCATTGATTCCCACCACCCAGGTCATCCATCAAGTCCAGGAGACCCAGCACACAGCTGGGATGGGCACTGGGAATTCCAGTAGGTATGGTTGAGGGCAGGGTGGGCAGGACAACTAAACAGATAAGAGTTGTTGCCATTCCGTAGCTGCCAAGAGAGCATCATCATTCACATGCATTCCTTCAACACTCTTCTGAGCTTACTCTCATTCTCTTCAGCATGCATGAGATTAGGTATTTGGAGAATATGGGATGGGATGGGGCTAGAGCAGAGGGAAAGAACAGAGGAAAGGGAGGAGACACAGATACTGAGTTTCAGTATGTGGATCCCTCTGAGGGATGGGTAATTTGAGTTGAGGAAGGGAGGCTCAGATGCTTGTCTCTTCTCCTTCTCCATAGTTGGGGAGCCCCTGCCAATCCCTAGGATTAAGAAGCCAAACAAGAAGACAGTGGACAAGTACCATGCACTCTACATCAGTGCCCTGCGCAAGCTGTTTGACCAGCACAAAGTTCAGTATGGCTTTCCTGAGGCCCAGGAGCTGACAATCATATAACAGGAACTAGATTCCCCCATCACTAAAGTCCTAAAGCATTGATGGATCCAAATAGGGTAACCCAGAAGGAAGAACTTAGGGAGAGAGGAGAATCTCAGGCATGAGGGAGGAAGCCAACCAAGCCAGAAAGTACTTAATGAATGGGGTTTTGCAGAAGAAACCAAAGGAGCAGAAGAGTAGGCAACAACCCACTGTAGAAAGCAGAGTCTTGTTAATCCAAAGCTCTTTTTTTTTTTTTGCCCCCTGATTCCAGCCAACCCTCTGACCAAAGGAATGAGAAGCCAAAAACCACCACCGCTCCCCCTTACCAAACCTTAGTGACACCATCACTCTTTAGATTTAGGCTTAGAAGACTTGTTGAGAACAGGAATAGTTTGTTTCCTTCTCCTCCTTACAATTTGGGACCCACAACCAGGTAAACCAGGGACCTGAACTGTAGCTGCTGATCCAAACAGAAAGGATTCCCTCAGTTGTGACACAATTCTACACTGCAAAAGCTTGCCACATGCAGTTATGCTGTTTCTTCTATAAAAATAAAGGTCTATGGGCACCTGGGTGGCTCAGTTGCTTAAGTGTCTGAGTGTTGATTTCAGTTCAGGTCATGATTTCACAGTTTGTGAGTTCAAGCCCCACGTTGGGCTCTGTGCTGATCCTGTGGAACCTGCTTTGGATTCTCTATTTCTCTCCCTCTCTCTCTGCCCCTCCCCTGTTCACGCTGTGTTTCTCTCAAAATGAATAAATAAACTTTTAAAATGTTAAAAATAAAGGTCTAGATGTATAAAAGAGGCTATGACTATTTTCTAATTACTGTGGTTCACTACTGGCCTTCCCTCAAACCTGGCCAGAAAGCTGGTCTGTGGAAAGCCATTTTCCTCCTCTTCATCCACCCTTTATACTTCCTCTGACAGAAGAGGTGATGGAGAGGAACCAGAACTGCTACACAGTGTAGGATACAGAGGCAAAATCATGAGAACTGGCATAGGTACCCACTGAATAGCCCATCTCTCCTGACCCCCACATAGCCATCCAGAGTCAGAAGGAAGGGAGCCACAAGACCATGCACAGACTGTGAGTCTACTTTATGTCAACTTCCTACTGTGTAACATGGATTATGCCATTATTTTCACAGTCTTTGTCTCTTAATGCTAACGCCAACCCTGTGAGATTCCATCACCTCCATTTCACAGTAGCTAAAACTCATAGAAGTTAAGTAAATTGCCCAAAGCCACATAGCTTTGGATAGAACTAGCATTCAAACCTAGGCTTTGCTAATTCTAATCCACAGTTATTTCTAATACCATCACACATCCTATTCCTCGCTTCCTGGAAACCTATTAATCAGCTTCATTTTCCTAAAGAAGGAAAATTTAAAGTAGTTCATAGCACCCCTCTTGAAGTAGTTTATAAGTGTGGGCAAAAATGACATGGATTCTACTCAGAGTGGATCCAGGTTAGGCCTCAGGGAAAGTAGTTTATTAATTAAAAAAACTTTTTGTATCAACAGATTGGAAGTGAGAATCCAGAAATAAACCCAAACATGTATGGTGTTGATTTTTGCCAACGGTGCCAAGACAATTCAACAGGGGTAAAGAATAGTCTTTTCACAGATACCATATGTTTTCACTCTTATGTGGATCCTGAGAAACTTAACAGAAACCCATGGGGGAGGGGAGAGAAAAAAAAAAGAGGTTAGAGTGGGAGAGAGCCAAAGCATAAGAGACTCTTAAAAACTGAGAACAAACTGAAGGTTGATGGGGGGTGGGAAGGAGGGGAGGGTGGGTGTTGGGTATTGAGGAGGGCACCTTTTGGGATGAGCACTGGGTGTTGTATGGAAACAAATTTGACAATAAATTTCATATATTAAAAAAAGAATAGTCTTTTCAATATATGATGCAGGGACAACTGGATATTCATATGGAAAAGAATGAAGTTGGAACTCTGCCTCAAACCATACACAAAAATTAACTCAAAATGTATCAAAGACCTAAAGTGAGAGCTAAAAGTATAAGACTATTGGAAAAAAACATAAGAGTAAAGTTTTCTGGCCTTGGATTTGGCAATGGATTCTTAGATATGACACCAAAAGCACAAACAACAAATGAAAAAATAGCTAAGTTGGACTTCATTAAAATTAAACACTTTTGTGCTTCAAAGAACACTATCAAGAAAGTGAAAAGACAACCCACAGGAGAAATTTGCAAATCATGTGTCTATAAGAGTCTAGTATCTATAACATATAAAGAACTCTTACAACTCAATGACAAAAAGACAACCCAATTCAAAATGAGCAAAGGATTTGAAAGACATTCCTCCAAATAAGACAAACAAATGAAAAGGTTCTCAATATTATTAATCATTAGGGAAATGCAAATAAAAAACACAATGAGATACCATTTCACACTCACTAGGATGACTATAACAAAAAAGACAGACAATACCAAATATTAGTGACGATATGGATAAATTAGAACCCTCAGGCATTGCTGATAGGAATATAAAGTGGTGCAGCCCCTTTGGAATACAGGTTGGCAGTTCCTCAAAAAGTTACACAGAGAGTCATCATATGACCCACAAGTCCCACTCCTAAATATATACTCCCAATTTTGAAAATACGTGATTCTACAAAAATTTGTACATGGATGATCATAGCACAATTATTTATAATAGCAAAAATGAAAACAACAGAAAGCCCATCAATTGATGTATAAACAAAATGTGGTATAGTTATACCATGGAATATTATTCAACCATGAAAGGAATGAAGTACTGATATGCACCACAACATTGATGAACTTGCAAACATCATGCTAATTTAAAAAAGCCAGAAACCCAGGTTGTATATTACATAATTCCATTTCTATGAAATATCCAAAATATGCAACAATGGAGATAAAGAGACAGAGACATAAAGTAGATTAATGGTTTTCAGGGACTGGGGGAAAGGGGAAATGGGAGTGACTACTAATGGGTATGGAGTTTCAGGGATCATGAAAATGTTGTGTAATTAGTGACAATGACTGTGCAACCTTGTGAATCATTAAAACCCACCATATTGTACACCTTAAACTGGCAAATTTTATAGTAGGTCAACTGTATCTTGAAAAAGTAATGTTTATGAAAAATCAGCCTTTTAATTTAAGGAAAAACGTGTGGGTTCTATGAAAAGTTGTATAAATGTTTCAGGGTGCCTTGGTGGCTCACTCAGTTGAGCGACCAACTCTTGATTTCAGTTCAGGTCATGATCCCAGGGTCATAGGATTGAGCCCCACGTTGGGCTCTGCACTGAGCTTGGAGCCTGCCTGGGATTCTCTCTCTCTCCCTCTGCCCCTCTGCCCCATTCTTTCTTTCTCTAAAAAAACAATAGTTGTATCAGAGTTTAAAAAACACAATAATTCTTTTAATACTTTTTATTTTGAAATGATTGCCAGTTCACAGGAAGTTGCAAAAGTAGTCCATTGGACCCTTTACCCAGCTTCCCACGATGGTGACATCTTCTATAATTGAGTACAAAATCAAAACCATGAATTGACACCAGTACAATACTGCTGATTAGACTATAGGTCTTACTCAATTTCACCATTTTTATGCACACTTATTTGTGCGTGTGTATGTGTGCGTGTATACATGCAATTTGATCTCATATATAGATTTGTATGACTGGGGTGCCTAGGTGGCTCAGTTGGTTGACTATCCAACTCTTGATTTTAGCTCAGGTCATGATCTCACAGTTCATGGGATCAAGCCCCCCTATTGGGTGTCAGCATATAGCCTGCTTGAGTTTCTGTCTCTCCCTCTCTCTCTCTCTGCCCCTCCCCTGCTCACACATGCACTCTGTCTCTCTCTCTCCTTCTCGCTCAAAATAAACATTAAAAAATATAGATTTGTATGACCCCCATGACCATCATGACATAGAACTGTTTCATCACCATAGAGTAACTACCGCATATCTCGCCTATATAATCACACACCTCTGCCTTCATCCCTGTGCCCTGGCAATCACTGATCTATTCTCCATCTCTTTAGCTTTATCATTTCAAGAATATTATATAAATGGAATCATACAGTATGTAATGTTTTGAGATTGTTTTTTTTTTTTCACTAAGCATAATGCCTTTAATTAAGATCCATCCAAATTGTCATGTATCAATAGTTCATTCCTTTTTATTGCAGAGTAAGATTCCATGGTCTGGATGCACCAGAGTTTCTTTAAGCATTCACCCATTGAAGGACATCTGGATTGTTACCAGTTTTTGGCAATTACAAGTAAAGCCGCTATTAACATCCATGTACAAATTTTTGTATAAATAGGATGTTTGATTTCTCTGGGATAAATGCCTAGGAGTGCAATTGCTGGGATATATGGTAATTGCACATTTAGTTTTATAGGAAACTCTCACACTATTTTCTAGGGTGGCTGTACCGCTTTGAGTTGCCATGAGCAATATATGAGGCATCTTAGCCAGTATTTAGTTTTGTCACTGTTTTTTTTTTTAGGTGTATTTATTTATTTTGAGACAGAGAGTGTATGAGTATGGGAGGGACAGAGAGAGATAGCAAGAGAAAGAATCCCAAGCAGTCTCCTTGCTGTCAGCATGGAGCCTGACGCAGGGCTCGAGCCCATGCGTCAGCACAGAGCCTGACACGGGACTCGACCCCATGGACCATGAGATCATGACCTGAGCCGAAGTAGGAAGCTTAACTGAGCCACCCAGGCCCCCCCCTCATGGTAGTTTTAATTTGCATTTTTGCTTTGGATCAGTCTCTGCTAGCTAGAAATGCCTGGGGACACTCACCTGGGCCCAGACTACTTGCAGCGATCCCACAAAGACATTTCCCCCTGGATCCAATGTGGCCGTCCCAGCTTTTGTGGTTTTTATTATGATTGAAAGACATACCTCAGCAGCAACCATCAGGGAACTTTGAAAAAAACAAGGTTTATTACTCAGGTTCTGGAGAGTCCACAGCACATGAGTTGCCACACAGTAAGGTCATAGGTAAAG